CATGAACTAATAGAACAATATGAACTAATGGAACAAAATAAACTAATAAAACATCAAGATCAAATATAACTACACAACCTAATAGAACAAAAAGAAGTAATAGATCAACATGAACTAATAGATCAACATGAACTAATAGAACAACATAAACTAACAAAACAACATGAACTAATAGAACAACAAGAACGAATAGAACAACATAAACTAATAGAACAACATGAACTAATAGAACAACATGAACTAATAGAACAATATTAAGTAATAGAACAACAAGAACAATTAGAACAACAAAAACGAATAGAACAAGATGAACTAATAGAACAATAAAACTAATACTACATTATAAACTAATAGAACAACCTAAACGAATAGAACAACATAAACTAATAGAAAATCATGAACTAGTAGAACAAAAGGAACTAACAGAACAACATAAACAATAGAACAACATGAACTAATAGAACAACATAAAATAAAGAACAACATGAAATAATAGAACAACATGAACTAATAGAATAATATGATCTTATATAAGAAAAAGAATGAATAGAACAACATGAATAATAAAACAACATAAACTTATAGAACAACATGAACAAATAGAAACACACAACATGAACTAATAGAACAACATGAACTAAAAGAACAACATGAACTAATAGAACAACATGAACTAATAGAACAACAAGAACGAATAGAACAATAGGAACAAATAGAACAACATGTACATGCAAATAACATGAATTAATAGAACAATATAATCTATAACAACAACATGAACTAATAGAACCACATGAACTAATAGTACAACATGTACTAATAGAACCACATGAACTAATAGAACCACATGAACTAATAGAACCACATGAACGAATAGAACCACATGAACTAATAGAACAACATGAACTAATAGAACCACATGAACTAATAGAACCTTATGAACTAATATAACCACATGAACTAATAGAACCACATGAACTAATAGAACCACATGAACTAATAGAACAACATGAACTAATAGAACCACATGAACTAATAGAACCACATGAACTAATAGAACCTTATGAACTAATATAACCACATGAACTAATAGAACAACATGAACTAATAGAATCACATGAACTAATATAACCACATGAACTAATAGAACAACATGAACTAATAGAACCACATGAACTAATATAACCACCTGAACTAATAGAACAACATGAACTAATAGAACCACATGAACTAATAGAACCACATGAACTAATATAACCACATGAACTAATAGAACAACATGAACTAATAGAACCACATGAACTAATAGAACCACATGAACTAATAGAACAACATGAACTAATAGAACCACATGAACTAATAGAACCTTATGAACTAATAGAACCACATGAACTAATAGAACAACATGAACTAATAGAACCACATGAACTAATATAACCACATGAACTAATAGAACAACATGAACTAATAGAACCACATGAACTAATATAACCACATGAACTAATAGAACAACATGAACTAATAGAACCACATGAACTAATAGAACCACATGAACTACTAGATATACATGTACATATAGAAAAACATGAATTAATGAAACAACATAAACTAAAAATGAAAATGAATTAATTGAACAACATGCAATGGTTCCCTGAGAACTTGAGAAATGGGGCAACAACAAGTCGAGACTCCGGGGTGAAAAATAGGGCTGCCCAGGCACACCCATAAAAACAGACACCTTTCAGCGTATCAAGCACTCGTTTTCTGACAAAGTGTTACGGGCTATTACAAGACTAGTAGGAATTCCAGAGGTGTACACGCTAGCATGCCCTCCCAAGCAAGTCTGGACCCGAACATAAACGGTGGAACGCACGTAGACTTCGGTCCCCCTAACTGGAACATGTGGAGGCCAGGACGCCAGGTGATTCCAACATTAAATATGTTGTATGTGGCACAGTCAAGAAGATGAGGCTTGCGGACAACATGTTAGCCTGGGACATAAAGAACGAGCGCACCCCTCCCCGAGAGTATGTATTAGTATGAGTAGTCGAACTATAATACTCTTGAAATCTTTGAGAGTTTGAAGGAGGGTTGCAATGAAATTAGGAAGGTCAAGGATTGCATGGATTTAAACGTTTTTCTCAGCGCGTCACCCCTTTTTAAATTAAAAAATATACCGCACCATTTACACACACACACACACACACACACACACACATATATATATATATATATATATATATATATATATATATATATATATATATATATATATATATATATATATATTATATATATATATAAAAAATATACCGCACTATATACACACACACACACACACACACACACACACATATATATATATATATATATATATATATATATATATATATATATATGTATATATATAAATATTTATATAATATATATATATAATAATAATAATGAGGGGTCTTATATAGCGCGGTACCACAGCCTAGGGCCGGGCTCACCGCGCTGTACATAAAAATTTTATCAAAAGAGACATAACTATGACATTAAAATAAAATACATTTATGAAAAAAAGAACAGCAATGTATATTCACCCACCCCACAACATAACTTTTACAAGGCAAACCATGGACGGCAGCCAGCAAGATCATTTATCGGTCCGAGGAGGGGAATCAGTCAGGGTAGTATGATTTAAAAAGATATGTTTTGAGTGCAGTTTTGAAGGCCTGGGTGGTTGGTATATTGCGTATGTTTAGTGGCAAAGAATTTATTTATTTATTTATTTAGGCATGTTTATATAGCGCTTACCATAAAGCTCTGAGCTCTTTACAATTATTTGGGGGCGCAGAAAGAGAAAGATAGTTCACCATATGTTTTAGTGTGTGTCTTGGGAACGGACAGAATACACGTGTCTGCAGAGGAGCGAAGCTGTCGAAGGGGTGAATAGACAGAAAGAAGTTCGGTTAAATACATACATATAACTAATTTTTAAACTCTGGTTTCCCCTCGGAAACTACCTACCGCCCCACAGGGTGTGTGGAAATCCATCTTTCAGAAACCTGCTATGTGCTGTTTAATGTATTTCTCTCTTAAATTGTGCTCAGATTTCTTTTTTTACCCAAGATACACACTTCGCACACCAACATTTCCAGTGTACTGATATTCATTCAGTAAATATCCTAATATTATTTTTAGATCAATGTCTCCGACAAGAGTGCCCCTGAAACCTTCTTTATCTACAGCATTGCTAAAGTCTCCAGGAATCAGATCTGTTAGCACCAATGATTAAATTAAGTACCCATAACAGGGTTGGGTTGCTGAGTGGCCTAAACTGAGCCAAACTCAATTACGTGGTCTGGAGTTCAATCCCCACCAAAGCCAAGTCAAGCAAAGACACTACCAACACCCGGTGGATGGGACTCGTTATCCTCTACTATGTCTGCCATGTTCAGTGTATTGATCATTCTCGACGTTCACGATGTTTCGGTGCATGCCATTGAATAGGATACTTCACTGGTTGCAAGGGGCTACTATTGTTGGGCCTTTAATTAAATCATAACTTAAACGCTTTAACTACACAATGTGTTTAACTGTATTATTTATTTTGCCATGAACCATAACTATATATTGGCATCAATGAACATTTCAGTAGACAATTTTTAGCATAACAGATCGTTATGACTTATTTTTTTATTTGAATTTTTAAAAAGAAAAAAAAAGATATCTGCATGGTATTTTAAGTTGTTGCATGGCCCTTAGTGAGCCTAGGGGACATTGACGGGAAGGCTGGCGTTGTAACTAGGGACATTGAAGGGAAGGCTGGTGTTGTAACTAGGGGACATTGAAGGGAAGGCTGGTGTTGTAACTAGGGGACATTGAAGGGAAGGCTGGCGTTGTAACTAGGGGACATTGAAGGGAAGGCTCGTGTTGTAACTAGGGGACATTGAAGGGAAGGCTAGCGTTGTAACTAGGGGACATTGACGGGAAGACTGGTGTTGTAACTAGGGGACATTGACGGGAAGACTGGTGTTGTAACTAGGGGACATTGAAGGGAAGGCTGGTGTTGTAACTAGGGGACATTGAAGGGAAGACTGGTGTTGTAACTAGGGGACATTGACGGGAAGACTGGTGTTGTAACTAGGGGACATTGAAGGGAAGGCTGGTGTTGTAACTAGGGGACATTGAAGGGAAGGCTGGTGTTGTAACTAGGGGACATTGACGGGAAGACTGGTGTTGTAACTAGGGGACATTGACGGGAAGGCTGGTGTTGTAACTAGGGGACATTGACGGGAAGACTGGTGTTGTAAATAGGGGACATTGACGGGAAGACTTATGTTGTAACTAGGGGACATTGAAGGGAAGGCTGGTGTTGTAACTAGGGGACATTGAAGGGAAGGCTGGTGTTGTAACTAGGGGACATTGACGGGAAGACTGGCGTTGTAACTAGGGGACATTGACGGGAAGGCTGGTGTTGTAACTAGGGGACATTGACGGGAAGACTGGTGTTGTAACTAGGGGACATTGACGGGAAGACTTGTGTTGTAACTAGGGGACATTGAAGGGAAGGCTGGTGTTGTAACTAGGGGACATTGAAGGGAAGGCTGGTGTTGTAACTAGGGGACATTGACGGGAAGACTGGCGTTGTAACTAGGGGACATTGACGGTGGGAAGGCTGGTGTTGTAACTAGGGGATATTGGCGGGAAGACTGGCTTTGTAACTAGGGGACATTGGCGGGAAGACTGGCGTTGTAACTAGGGGACATTGGCGGGAAGACTGGCGTTGTAACTAGGGGACATTGGCGGGAAGACTGGCTTTGTAAATAGGGGACATTGGCGGGAAGACTGGCGTTGTAACTAGGGGACATTGGCGGGAAGACTGGCGTTGTAACTAGGGGACATTGACGGGAAGGCTGGTGTTGTAACTGAGATTCGAGCTCATGCCATATAAGTATGATGTAGTACACGCTGAGCCACCCAAACAACCGTAAATGAAAAATAACACGGTAGAATAATGAAAATTTAAAATATTTTATATCATTATTTCAACAAGTACAACGAAAAAAAAGTCAATGAAATCTGCAAGACAACTGTTTTTTTAATTGACTTCTGAGTTGTTTTTTTCATTATTTGCATTATTTTATTTTTAATTTTAGTTAGTTTACATGTTTTTAATAATTGTAAAGCGCTTAGAGCTTTAAGGTAAGCGCTATATAAAAATGCCTAAATAAATAAATAAATAAATGTTCATTATATATTTGTAATCCATTAAAAAAAATAATAACGTTTTAATATTAAGGGGAGCTCAACCTGAAATTCAGAATTTCCCTCGCAAGTTAAATTTCCATTTGGCAAAATTTCCCTCTTAAGTTACCTATCAAACTTTTGTTTATTTGTTGTTGTTTTTTCTTTTGTTTGCATGAGGGTTAAAGGGGTGAGGTGAGTCGGAGGGTTAATTGTAAAAGTCGTGTGTTAAGATTTGCTTCGTAGCTTGTTGACTTCTGCTGTACCTAGGTATCCTACACTACATGCCACTAGGACGCCACTGGTGTGGTTTTGAGTGCGACGGTTGTGTTTGGGGCCGTAGTGTTCTCGTGAGCGGCCAGCCCGTCCAGTATCATGTTGAGCTCCAGGTCGTGCAGGCTCACGTTTAAGGTAAGCAGCTCCACCTGGTGCTTGAGGCTCATCATCTCGTAGTACGTGTACATGGACAGGTTGACCCTGAGGTCCATGACCTCTGACCTCAGCTCCCGATTCTCCCGCTGCAGGTCCGCGATGGTGTTGTCGTGCACGATGATGTACTTGACCAGGTCGGAGATGTTGGGCTCGGTGGCGTCCACTCGGATGGACGTGCTCAGGTAGACGGAATGCTTCTCCTGGTTGAGGGCGAACAGCTCGCACGTGTAGAGCCCGGCCTGCTCCGCGACAGGGCTGTCCCAGGTGAGCTGTAGGTAGGCCTGTTCCCCGGAGACTGTCGACGGTGCGCCGCTACCTTCAACTTTGACGCGCCCCACGTAGAAGCCCTCGGCCACGGCGCCGTCAAACGGCGTCACACTGGCGACGGTCTCCTTCCGTCCCGAGATAACCTTGCTGACAATGATGGACGTCACGTGGAAGACGTCCGCACGGTCGGATAGACTATACGGCTGTAGATTAGGAAGTTCAGTTGGAGATGCTTGCGTTGGTATGGCTGATACCAATGTCGTTGTTGTCGCTGGTTGTGATCGGATCGCTGTTGTCCAGTCATAATAGTAATCTGTTGAAGAGGTCATAGCTTGTCTATTGTGTGGCCACAAGATGTTCTCAGAGACAGAACACCTCAGCTGCAGTTGTTTGGTCAATATCTGGTGAATCACCGTTGGGTTGGTTTCAAACTTCAAAACCGAACCTTTTGAATAGAATCAATTTATGCACTTAATATTATAAGCCTTAAACGAAATTGATACTCGAGACCATTTCACATATTTTTTTTAAGACTTTTGAGAAATAGTTTAAAATTTAATTAAAATTGAAAAAGTTACAGAATATGATCGATATAGTATCAATGCACTGAACATTAGTAAGGGCCGGTTAATCGAATAATTCGAGTCCTCATCAATAATTTATAACAAGGATCGAAAAAAGAATAATTTTTAAAGTTAATTTTAATCAATTATTTCAATAGTTAAAGCCAATAACATTTTTACCAACCTCTCTATCTCTCTCTCTCTCTCTTGCTCTCTTTCGCTCTCTCTCTCTCTTTCTCTCTCTCTCTCTCTCCCTCCATCTCCCTCTTTGCAGTCTACACCAAGTATGACAATGAGTAATTTAGGACATCGTAAACAGGGAATTAAAAAACAAAATGTTTCATAACAAAATCATGCGATAATATTCTTGAGTAAAGTTGTACTATTTTTCTTTCGTGAGCATTTTGTTTATTTTCAATTTCCCCCATTTATTTGAAACGTAACATCTTTCAATATTAGCTCTTTGAAACATCTTAATAGAATAATAGACCTGTGGGATTTAGTGTCACGTCATCTGCTAAATCAGGTAAGTTTTAATTTCTTTTTTTTTTCCCTAATTATTTTAACACTTCACTTACCGAAAGCTCCAGCTCGAAAACAGAGTGTTGCCATGGCAACGATTACGAGAATCAGCCCGTTCATTGTTTAATTTCTCTCCTTTAGAAAGACCTTCTGAACAAAAGAAGTGATTGGCGATTAATTCAGTTGGTCTTTGTGGAATAGGTAATAGGTCTGAGGCTGTCTCAATATTACAGTATACACATTCAGCTCAGAGATAAGCTATTGACTTCACCAAGGCTGCTTATCTGAGATCACTATCGGTAGCATGGGGTCGCATGCTCACTTTCTCACAGCAGGTCATGGGAGGATTTAAAACGACTTTTACTCTGGATATAATACGCTGGGCACTGACAACAATTTAGAGAGTACAAGTATTAGTCCATGTCTGAAATATGACGTCATATAGCTTTCTAGCAAGACGCAAATAGTAGCATCAAGCTGTGCTACACTGAGTTGATTACCAGCATGGTGTTTCCTTCCCCTTCTATTCACGAGAACGTCAGATTGAAACACGCATGGCTGAGGCTCTGCACGTGCCCTTTGAATTTCTCAAACAATAGTGTTGGCAGTGGCTAGAAATGGTGACTCGTGGTGTTTGCTGGATCTAGAACTGGTGTTTCATGGTGGTTGTTGTGGCTAGAAATGGTGCCTTGTGGTGTAAGCTGGGTTCAGAAATGGTGTCTCTGCGTTTTGGAGGGGCTAGAAATTGTATATTGTGGTGTAAGCTGGTGCCAGAAATGGTGTATCGTGATATAGGCAGGGGCTAGAAATGGTGTCTGGTGGTGTTGGTTGGTGCAGGAAATGATGAGTCGCGGTGTTGACTGGGCTCAAAAAGGTGTGTATTATTTTCTGGTGCTATGAAATGCCACACCTTATTTTGCCTAGGGCTAGAAATGGTGACTCTTCGTGTTAATATTTAGACTATTATTAAGAGAATACTCGCTTGTCATGTATCATGTCATGGGTGTAAAACTGGAAGGCCTGTCATAGCTTAGTTATTATATGATAGGCCTGACATCACTCTTATCTGATAGGCCATCAGTAACTAATGTGACAGGCCTGCCATCGTTAACTTATGTGATAGGCCAGTCATCACTAACTAATATGATAGGCTTGCCATCGCTAACTAATGTGATAGGCCTGCCATCGCTAACTAATGTGATAGGCCTGTCATCGCTAACTAATGTGATAGGCCTGCCATCTCTCACTAATGTGGTAGGCCTGTCATTGCTAACTAATGTGGTAGGCCTGCCATCGCTAACTAATGTGATAGGCCTGTCATCACTAACTAATGTGATAATATTTGCGGTGGTAAATTTATAAGCTCCTGACCAGTACCGACTGGATATATAACCCAAGTACAATTTCATGTTGTTAAGTTATTGTAAACAAAATTATTCATTTTTAGCTGCAAATATAATGTAGGCCAACGTCTTAGATTCGGTTCCTGTTGTTTGTGTGCTGAGTAGAAGTCATTGTAACACATATGCAGGGGCGTGCCTATGGTCTGGCGAATGGAGCAGCTGCGAGTGTATGTCTTAGTGTGAGTTTAAGGGGCGCACTTTCCGGAGCTCTGACCGTATGGAATTTTCAAGGTTCGCCATATTAAATATATACGAATTCGATTATAATAAATTATATTTATAAAAATGTGTAAGCTTTTCATTCATAAACCTAATTTGTGTTTACAAACTTCATTTTATGCAGCCTGTCAAGGGCAGAATATCAACATGGTTCATCAACTTCAGTTCCTTCTCCTAGGGTGTGAACTTGTATAACTTGCATGGAGAAAGTAGATTGACATCGAAGTGGGATACGATGATTGCTTACTTATATAGCACTCGTCTCCATGCTTTTCTAGCATGCCCAAAGCGCTCTGATGTCGCAAAATCTACTTAAATAAAGATGTCCTTAAATATCTCTTAAATGATTCTTTATCATTTTTAAAATTTCCCTCAAAGATTGAGACTAACTGTTCCTTAATGTCGGCTCTGTTGCTCCAAAATTGCGCACTCCGTATTTTGTGTGTGTCCATCCACACTGAGACCTCTCATTAGGGACTGTGACGCAGGCTCTTTAAGGCTACCTGTTTGGAAATACGTTCTTTAAAATATTCAGGTGCAGAGCCTTCCATACAGCTGTGCGACCGGGACATAATTTTGTGGTCAATGTGCGCACTCAGAGGAAGCCAGTGGGGTACTGTGACACATAATTTCATTGTCAAGTATTACACTGATTTGACTCACACCATTGTTAGCAACCCAATCCCCCCCCCCAAAAAAAAAAAAAAAAAGTCACAATTTTAAAGAACCGATTCATATTTTTTAAGGACTCATACTCGTATTGGGTACGTACAAACTTTTGTTTAAAACAGAGTAGCTTGCCTTGGACAACTTCCACTTCCGAGTCGTTTCAAATTCGTGTTTGGTGTTACTCAAATATATATGTATGTATGTATATATTTATATACATTTATATATATACATATATATATATATATATATATATATATATAGATAGATATATATAAATATATATATATATATATATATATATATATAGAGAGAGAGAGATATATAGATATAGATATATATATAGAGATATATATATATATATATACATATATATATATCGTTTCAAATTCGTGTTTGGTGTTACTCAAATATATATGTATGTATGTATATATTTATATACATTTATATATATACATATATATATATATATATATATATATATAGATAGATATATATAAATATATATATATAGATATATATATATATATAGAGAGAGAGAGATATATAGATATAGATATATATATAGAGATATATATATATATATATACATATATATATATGTATTATTATTTTTTATTTTATTTTATTTTTCGATGAATATTGTTTCAAACTAAGTGATTTGTTTCCATTCAACTGATGGTATTATCATACAATCCATATTTTTCTCGACAATCAATCTGCATCGAGCAATGATATGAAAGAAGAACGCCTCATTTCTTCTTCTCTCCCGGATATATAATTTTTTTTTCTCTTTTCCTCTAGGCTGTCGTAGCCCAGAGACTTCTCATCAGTATTGAAATTCTTCTGCCTACAATCGTAATTTGTTTCAAGCAGAAAGACTTTTTAGATATGTTTTATTTCGCTTGAAAAGACTTTTGTGCAGGGTCCCTGCTTTAACGGACAGGGACATCCTAAAGGTCCTTACTCATTTGCGGACAAGTCATTTTAAAGCAAATTTCTACGGAATATCATTAAATTAACCTCTAAACTTTTGGTAACTCTGCGTCACGTTGGCAATTTGGATTTGTTTTTTTTGTTTTGTTTTTTATGGGGTCAGGGTGTTTTCCTGTGTTAAGCAACCGTCCACACAAAAAAATAATAAAACAACTATATTTTTTTTTTTTTAAATGAAGCAATAACCACGTCTACACCACGGCCATAGGTAGGGCGCTGAAGAGTGGGCGGCCTCCCCAGGTGGCACCTCATTTTTTTTATTGAGGAGCGGAATTTGGGTCGTACAAAGGTCTTACAGGGGACAGCAAAACTCTTGAGCCAGCCCAGAATGGCACTTACCCTAGCTACGCCACTGCTCTACGCTCTGCTCCACATCTCATTTCTCAACTGCTACCGTCATTTGTTTTATTTAGAAAAAAAACAACAACACAAACTTGTAAAGAAACTTGTTTTATTGCGTTCATGAACACTTGTAATAAACTTTATTATTTATTTGAAGCATATTATTTTTCCATTCTCGACTATCACTCCATCTAAACATGGTCACTCCACGGTCGGATGTTGTTCAAATGTCTAATTGTCCATGGCCAGCCACATGAAATCGGCGATCGTGCTGCTGCCGGTGCTGATACAACTGACGTTGAACCCGGTCTCCGTCACCAGTTCGGTGTTCACCTGGAAGATGTAAGGGTCATCCCTGCTCACGTCTGTGCTCACCGTGAAACCGAGTCGTACAAAAGTGGTGAGCACGGTCGGTTTGACCTTGTACGATGTGCGGAACCGGATGTACTGATTCTTACAAATGTCGAAACCTGATTGGATGTTCTGTGCCTTCGCGTTGTCCATCCGTCGACTGAGCTCCGTGGTCTGATTGGAAAAGTTAGAGTGAAAATTGTCGAATTCTCCTCGCAGTGTAAGACTCTCATTGATTTGCATGCTGACTTTCAGCTTGAGATTTTGAACGCCGGCTTTCAACTCTTCATTCTCACGTTCAAGGTCGGCTATGTACTTCTTGTGGTCCGCGATGGTCCTTTCGTGAGCGGCAACATACTTGACCAGGTCCGAAATGGACGGCTCGGTGACGGAGATCTCAAAAGTTTTGCTCAGCGACGTCGGGTGCCTGTCTGCTGTAAGGGTCATGGCCTCGCAGCTGTAACTTCCGCCTTGGTCTTCCAGGGGGTTTTCCCAAACGACCTGCAGATACGCCTGTTCGTCAGTTGCCGGAGACGCTTCGGTGCTGCCCTCCACCGTCACCACGTTAACGAACGGACCTTCGGCGACAGCAGTGTCGTACGGCGTCACGTTGGCCACAGCCTCGTTCTGCATGGTCAGCGAGTTCAGTTTCCGAATGATAATGGAAACCACGTGAACCACATCGGCCTGTCCGGCCGGGGGCGTCGTCCTCAGTTCTGTCGTCGATTGGTCCAGCCCTCCATGGAGCTGCCGTTTACCCGGTAGTGTTCCGTTTTTGATGGCGCATCTGACTGTCAGCGTGTTGGTTAGGATGGGTAAGATTTTTTAAGGGTTGAATTAAAAAATCAATAAAAAGGCAAAAAAAAAAAAAAAAAAAAAAATTAAAATTATTTTATTTAGATGCACATGGCAGTACCTCACTGTTTATTTAAATGTACATTAAACATCTAAATTATAGGTATGAGTGTTAGGAGACTTGAAGACAGATATATTTACATAACAGATTTACTTTTATTTTAAACTATCACTTTTGTAAAAACAAATTTGAAGAATGGATAAATGTACTAATATCTTTTCTCAACAAGTTCCCGTCACTTTAGACTTTAGACCCACATGTTTACTACTGCTAATAAATTCGTGGTCGCAGTAGTTCAACGTTTGACCGATTAGGACGACACTTTTTGACTAACATCTAATTGTCCTACGATCAACAACTATTTGTCCTAGAATCAACATCTAATTGTCCTAGGATAAACATGTAACTGCCTTTTTACCAATTCATAATTATCCCATGACAAAACATCTAATTGTCCTATGACAAACATCTAATCGTCATATGACCAGCTACTAACTATCACATAACCAACATTTAATTTCCTATGACCCATATCGTAGTGTCCAATGACACCATCTAATTGTCCTATAACGAACATCTAATTATCTTATGACCAATATCTAATTGTCCTATGACCAATATCTAAGTTTCCTATAACCAATATTTAATTTCCCTATGAAAATATATACACATCCTATGACCATCATCTCATTGTCTTATGACCAACTACTAATTGTCCTAGGACCAAAATCTAATTTTACTAGGACAAGCATCTAATTGTCCTATAGCCAACATCTAGCTATCCTATGACCAATATCTAAGTATAATATGACCACCATTTAATTGTCCTATGACAATATCTAATTGTCCTATGGCGAAAATCTAATTGTTCTTTGACCAACATCTCATTGTCCTATAATCTACATTCACTGTCCTATGACTTAGTTGAAATTAATCATAAACACGGGTGTTTGATAACAATTAAATCAATCAAAATTTCATGCAACCACTGACATCTAAACTTCTCTATTGATACAAAGTTATCGACTTCCACAATTCGTTACCTAAAACCCCCAGAAAAGTAAGTCAGTGAAATATTTTTTTTTAAGCTATTGAAGCCAAGAAAGTAGCATCGACTTAGATACACTAATTAGTTACAACAACTTTTACAATAACTTTTATTTGATTCGCTAAAGTTCACGCAATGAAATAACTTGAAATTATTAACGCATTACTTTAATTGTGAACTAGTTTATTCTTCCTAATTGTCCAACTTTTATTCATTGTGAGAATCATTTGCAACCTTAAAAAGATATTATTAATAGTTCACTAATCAGACACAAACAATATGTGACAATAATTCAATCTAGGTTCAGCTTGAATGGTGATTTTACAAAACAATGTAGACGTTTCGGCAAATGCCTTCATCAGTACAAAACAAAACAAAACATTTAAAAAGTGTAATTTTAATATACATATTATCAATATTTCACCTAAAGTGTAATCCATAAACCATATGACCACCGTGACAGCTGTCAGTGACATCAAGATCTTCATGTCTTCTCCTGTCGAAATCTGCTCTCTAAAAAAATGTGCATTAAACTGTTTCTATTTCACTGAAAAGAAATGCGTTTCTTCGTTCAAGGCACATAACTACCCAGAACACCGACAGAGTTGCACATCTTAACACACACTTTGTCATGATTTCCTATTTTTAATTAGTCAGCCTGATTTCGATTCCTTATCTACTGCAACCCAAGTTTGTTACTAGCAGGCCAACTAACTACTGATTTCTTTGACCAACGAAATTTAAAAACTCTATTTTCATTTTTTTTTCTCTCTCCAGCTACATCTGCTGTTGTTGTTTTTTTAAATTCAATGAGAAATGCTAAATTTGTAAAAAAGTAAGTTTTGTTGACGGTTAAAATAAGTACCAGCAAGACATTTTTATTGTGAAAGATAAGCGAGCAAGTGATCGCTAAATTATTTTTAGAAATCTCATGCTACAAAGATGTTCTGTTCACCAGCATCTCTCAAACGTTAAAATTAAAACGACGGGCCAATCAAGTAAAACAATTTAAATTTATCATCAAATGCACGCAGTGGGTTCTAAAGAAGCTCTGCGCAGCTTGGAGCAAACTTTGAATTCACGTTCCGAATTACACGGCTGAAAGCGATTCTCATAGCGTGTAATGTTTTCATTCTCAATATTGACGCGCTTGGCGTGGGGCATTGTGATCTGTGATTTTGAAATAGAAAAAAAAAAAAATTAATAATAGCAATAACGTTCCGACTCGTAATGACTTTGGACGTGGTTACAGCTAAAGACTCTCCACCTTGGCACTGGATGGCAGATTTAACTCACTGAGAACAGAGAAAACCGATGACATCGTACTTCATCACAACCGTTGAAGAACCTCCATTGTAATGTCTAGGGACTGGTTATGAATCAGAGCTTTTCCATTTTGGGCGTTCGCCACTCGGGGGCTGTTTGAAGATTATTGGTGGCCCGTGGGCGAAGGGCATCAAGTACCTGGCAAAAATCTATTTACAGTGAAAAAATTGTGTGCGAATTTGTGGGTTAGAGACAGTCTGAAAAAAGGAGGGTTTTTTTTATTTGGGGGGGGGGGGGGGGTTGGGGGGGGGGGGGCGCCCGGGGGGATTGGGGGGTGTGGGTAGTACCTGGCAAAAATCTATTTACAGTGAAAAAATTGTGTGCGAATTTGTGGGTTAGAGACAGTCTGAAAAAAGGAGGGTTTTTTTTATTTGGGGGGGGGGTGGGGTTTGGGATGTGGGGGCCGCCAGTGGGAATTGGGGAGTTTGGGAAACACTGTTATAATTGATATGAATGACAAAGACATTAACATTCAAGGAAAATCTTATCAGTGCTGTCATTCATGTATAAGTATGTACATTTTATTTGCTAATTAAACTAAATATTGAGTCCAGTAGAGTGCGTGAGTTAAAGTGAAGACAATGAATTTTAAATTACTTCAAATCGTAAAAAAAAGTCATAATTTCTAACAGTTTTGTATGACTATTTATGGAATCGGAGTAGAAGTGTTATATTCATCATACTTATTAACAAATTCGTGTTTCCCTTTTACGTTTGTGAACAATAAATGTCATCCCTTGGTGGTGCCGCTAAATGTCATCCCATGGTGGTGCAAATAAATGCCATCCCTTGATGGTGTCACTTAATGTCATACCTTGGTGGTGCCACTAAATGCCATCCCTTGATGGTGCCACTTAATGTCATCCCTTGGTGGTGCCACTAAATGTCATCCCTTGGTGCTGTCACTAAATGTCATCCCTGGTGGTGCAACTAAATGTCATCCCTTAATGGTTCCCCTAAATGTCATCCCTCAGTGGTGCCACTAAATATCATCCCTTGGTGCTGTCACTAAATCTCATCCCTTGGTGCTGTCACTAAATTTCATCCCATGGTGGTGCTACTAAATGTCATCCCTTAGTGTTGCAACTTAATGTCCTCCCTTGGTGGTGCCATTAAATGCCATCCCTTGGTGGTACCACTAAATGTCATCCCTTGGATCTGTTATGAAATGTCATCCTTTTGTGGTGCCACAAAATGTCATCTATTGGGGGTGCCACTAAAAGTCATCCCCTAGTGGTTCCACTAAATATCATCCTTTGGTGCTGTCACTAAATGTCATCCCTTGGTGGTGCTACTAAATGTCATCCCTTAGTGGTGCCACTAAATGTCATCCATTGGTGCTGGCACTAAATGTCATCCCTTAGTGGTGCCACTAAATTTCATCCCTTGGTGGTGCTACATAATGTCATCCCTTAGTGGTGCCACTAAATGTCATCCCTTGGTGCTGTCACTAAATGTCATCCCTTGGTGATGCCACTAAATTTCATCCCTTAGTGGTGCCACTAAATGTCATCTATTGGTGGTGCCGCTAAATGCCATCCCTTGGTGGTGCTACTAATTTAGGGTTATTCTGTTGTGGTGATTTAACTAAAAGGGATCCCATGGTGGGGCAATCAATTTTATTCCCTGGCGGTTCCACTCATTGCCATCCCCTGGTGGCGCCCTTACTCATGGAAACAGAAAGAATAAAGAATACACATCAGAATACACCCCATTTATATTTGCAATTGTCCAATGCAGCTTTTCAATTTTTTTACGCACATTATTTTTCTTTCTACACTTAGCATAAACGCTATATAAAAATAGTATTTATTTAAAGAGACGACGATTATGTAAGAAATAAAGGTGTCATCTCTTTCAAGATGTGAAATTATTGCTATATCATGCAATAGCTAATGGGCTGAACCATTTTGTGCATACAAAAGTGGGATCCTTGATCTCAAAAGGTTGGGATCCACTGAATATTATCTATGTTATTGGTTCTTGGAGCTTGATTTTAAAATAAAACTGATTTCCGCTATAAAAAATGGTGGGGGGGCGAGGGTTGGCCTTCATGTAGTTATTTCTTCAACAATAGTTTGAATCCATTACTTGTAAAAATAGCTTCATCGCCATGTATCAAAATCTTGGTTTATTCCATTATTTCAAATAAATTATTTGTGGTACGGACTTTCGAATTAGAAGAGAGGGAACAGCGTGACAACTTTACTGGAATTCGAGGTAACAAAATACAATTAATAATTGTATTGTCTTATCGTAATAAAAAGTGACTCTGATACACATGTAAAACTTTTATTATTTCTATTCATACGGGATTAATGATAGACGTTCATCAGTTGTCTATTGCCATCCAGGAAATAACGTTAGAGATAGAAGATGAACTTGATGCACAACGTAACTGAAAGCCGTCAGTGCTCACGGATGATTTGCTTAACGTGACACTGTAGCTATTGCTAGAGGAGCTAGAGAAGGCTAAAAATACATCAGGGACAGATGCGTATTTTTTCTGAAACTTGATAGTGATATCTCCTGCATTATTACTGCACGTAATATTTCCGGTTTGGATGTTTTGACCGGTTAAGTTTCCGGTGATAATCTCCAACCGATGGATGTCCCCGTTCAGCATCTGAAACTTCTGGATCAGACCCTCAGTGTGATTTTGTTCTTTCAACTCCTGGGCAGAGATCTGATCTTCCAGCTGATGGACGCGATCCTGCAGAGTCTCTATGTGTTTGTCGTTATCTGAAATGTACTTAACGAGGTCAGTCAAGGTAGCGGCCGCAGTTTTGACCTGTGTCGACACCGTCACTGACTCGGGGTGTAGAAGCGCGTTCAGAGCGTAGATCTCGCAGATGTAAACGCCATCTTGGTCTTCCAACGGGTGGTCCCAGGTGAGCTCCAAAAATCCCTTCTCCCCGTTGCCAGAGGTTGGGTTGGTGCTGCCGGTGACTGAGATCTTGCCCAGGTCAACTTTAGCGGTTGGTGGGTCGAAAGAAGAGACGGTTGCTACGGTAACGTTCACTCTTGTCTCCGGGTGCATTCTCGTGATGATGATGGAGGTCACGTGGGAAACATCTGCCGGTGTCGTAGACGTCTCTGAGACGGCAGAGGAAGTGACAACACGACGGCCAATGATCTCTACCGGCTCACTTGTCACAGAGCAGCGCAGTTTGAGAGTTTTTGTCAAGACTGGGATTATTGTCTGAGGGTCCACCGTCACGATAACTTTGGATGCTGAAAAACAGAATATCGCAAATAGTTGACTCAATATCATGTTGGCAATGATGAGTTGATGAAGCAAATGACCACCTAAGCTCTATGAATATATATATATATATATATATATATATATATATATATATATATATATATATATATATATATATATATATATATATATATATATATATATATATACACTATATAAGAAATAAGATTACGTTTAGAGCTCAGAGATGTATGACCTGTCACTAATTGAGCGATGTTGACCTCGCTATCGGGAAATTTGGGACATTACGCCATCGTTGCATGCCTCCTTATTTTTTTTTTATATTAATTTGAAAATATTATGTTGTTAAAGAACGTTAAAAAAAGGAATTAGAATAAACATATTCTCATACAACTCAAACACAAAGCCACGGCAAATGCTTCAAATTTAACACATACCTTACGAAACAAAAGATATTTTTGATGCATTTTTGTTAATAAGCAAGTCACAGATCTTTCTTCTATTAAAAAACTCCTACACCATAGGAACTTAATTTTTTTTTAATCAAAACTCAGCAATCGGACAATCGCAATGCAAACGCGATCCCACTTTTAATTAACTAACTCTCTCGCTTGAACGTGCTTCCACTATTCATACTGTTCGTATTACAAGTAGGCTGGTTGGCTTATTAATGAACTGTTCGTCTTAAAAGGTGGCGATTTCACCAGCTGTTGTAAGGAAATAAAAAGCACATGGCATCTACATGTTTTGTGACCTACTTTTCCTGAGTGGTAATGTGTATAGACAATCATTCGCCTAAAATATCGAAAACTTTCAACGACCGAAAAGTGGCGAACTCAGGGATAGCATTCTGCCCAGCTAGGCCAACTGTCTAGCTAGACCAGGGGTCGGGAACCTTTTTGTCTGAGAGAGCCATGGACACCAAATATTTTGAAAAGTAATTCTGTGAGAGCCATACATTATGTTTAAAACAAAAAATTCAAGTACATGTGTGCATTTTGTGTAATTTCAACACTAACATTGGAATAATTATGTCTCTGAATTCTTTTTAATAACATTGTTATGCTTTTGCTAATCAATAATGAGTATTTCTTACCATTAATGAGACTTTTTTTAATAATCGATCATTTGTCTGCGAGCCAGATGCAGCCATCAATAGAGCCAGATCTGGCTCGCGAGCCATAGGTTCCGACCCCTGAGCTAGACCAACTGTCTAGCTAGTCCACCTTAAAATATTTTTTTTTAAATACATATATTAAAATTCTGTACTTATTTTTTATTTTAAAAGAATTCTAAAAATACAAATTTGCGTACGGTGAACTTTGCAACACATTCTTACAGAACTGCTCATCATCACCAACCTGCACTGTAGACAGCCATTCCTAGAACCGTGAGTAGGATACATTTATACGTCTTTGCTTTGTCCATGGCGTCGACAGCGCTTGATTTGGAGCGAGACTATGTTGGCAGCGCTGAACTAAGCTTTAGACTAAACTAACAACGGTTCGGATCATGTGGTGAAACAACCTTGCACGCGATGAATCAGATTGTTTATTTGTAAAAACAAATCAACGCACCCCCCCCCCCCCCCAACCCCCCCCGCAAAAAAAAAAAAAAATAAAAAAAAAAAAAATTTTTTTTTTTAAAAAAAAAATACACCCCCCCCCCCCCCCCCCACAACCTCCCTCGCACAAAAAAAAAAAAGACACGAAAAAAAAAACCTTATCTGTCTCTCCACATTCCTTCATTAAATGCTATGTGAAGTATAAGAGAGGCCGCCGCCTCAATGCGTACCGTTGCAAAAGTTCAACACTGGTGGTGCCTTCCTCATGTTCTTGGTCGCTGTCACTAAATATTTTGTGATAAGGGCATAATTGTTTATTGGCTATTATATAAATCTAGGACAGTGTCCGCAAGACTATCGGACTGCGATATTAATATAAACAACAGGTTGGCCAAATGGTTCTTTAGTGAAACAAACAAACAAAATAGACGTTAATGTACTTAAGCAAATGGTTAGAATATTTTGGCATAGAGAAAGAGAAAGATATAGTAAGAGAGAAAGTGAAGAAGCAAAGAGAGATACAGGGTGAAAGAGAGGGAAGAGAGAGAAAAAAAGAGATAAAGAGAGAGAGAGAGAGAGAGAAAGGGATACTAGAGTGAGAGGCAAAGGGAGAGAGAGAAATACGATGGGCGTAGATATACAGCGCGTTTTTACATTAGTTTTAAAACAATATGTGTACACGAAGATTTTATATCAAGTAGAATTGTGTTCAATAGGCGCTCAAATTTAAATTCTCAATAGCTGCACTAAAAGAATAAATAAATAAAAAAACATTCATGTAAGATATGGATTCATTTGAGGTATACATTCATAGTAGGTATACATTAATAAGAGGTATGAATTCATGCGAGGTATACATTCATGCGAGGTATACATTCATGCGAGGTATACATTCATATGAGGTATAGATTTATGTTAGTAATTCATTCATATGAGGCTTACATTCACATGAGGTATACATTTATGTTAGGCATATATTCATGAGAGGTATACTTTCATATGAGGTATACATACAACTATGAGGTATACATAGATAAGAGGCATACATTCATGAGAGGTATAGATGCATTTGAGGCATACATTCATGTGTGGCGCCACTCATTGTCGTCCTCTTGTAGCACCCTCACTCACGGAAATCAAAAGGACAATACAGACCACACATCAACATAGACCACATTTATATGGGCAGTTATCCAATGCATTTTCTTATGTTTTACACACGTTAATTTTCTTTCTTTAATTGGGATAAATGCTATATACAGATATATTCGAAGGAACTGACGATTAGGTAAGAAATAAATTGAGGTATCTCTTTCAGGATGCAAGAATCTTGCTATTTCTTGTAATAGTTAATGGGCTAAATATTTTGTGTACGGTATTAAAAAAAGGGTTCCTTGATCTCAAAAGGTTTGGATTCTATGAATATAATCCATCTTATTGATTTTTGGAACTTGATTTTAAAACAAAACTGATTTCCACACATAAAGATATTGGGGGCGGGTGGGGGTCATCATTTCATTATTTCCATACATTGCATCTTTGCTATATATCATCAATTGTTTCGTGCCATTACTTTAAGTAATTTCTTCACATCCATATGTCAAAAAAAAAAAAAAAAACCGCTTCACTCCATTATTTCAAATAAATTATTTGTGGTACGGACTTTCCAATTAGAAAAGAGGGAACAGCAAGATACATTTCTTGGAATTCGAAATAACCAAATACAAAGAATAATTGTATTGTCTTACGTAATATAAAAGTGACTCTATTATATAGAGGTACAACTTTTATTATTTCCATTCGTACCCGAATAGTGATAGACATTAATCAGTTGTCTATTGCCATCCAGGAAATACTGTAAGAGTAAGATGAACTTGATGCACAACGTAATTGAAAGCCGTCAGTGCTCACTGATGATTTGGTTAATGCAACGTCGTAGCTTCTGCTAGAGTAGCCAGTAAAGGCTAAAAATACATCAGGAACGGATTCCTAGCTTTTCTGAAACTTGATATTAACGGCTGTGCCACTGGTGCATGTAACATTTCCGGTTTGGATGTTTTGACCGGTTAAGTTTCCGGTGATGATCTCCAACCGCTGGATGTCCCCGCTCAGCATCTGAAACTTTTGGACCAGATCCTCAGTCTGATTTTGTCCTTTCAACTCCCAGGAAGAGATATAGCCTTCCAGCTGATGGACGCGAGCCTGAAGAGTCTCTATGTGTCTGTCGTTATCTGAAATGTACCTGACGAGGTCAGTCAAGGTGGCGGCCGCAGTTTTGACCTGTGTCGACACCGTCACTGACTCGGGGTGTAGAAGCGCGTTCAGAGCGTAGATCTCGCAGATGTAAACGCCATCTTGGTCTTCCAACGGGTGGTCCCAGGTGAGCTCCAAAAATCCCTTCTCCCCGTTGCCAGAGGTTGGGTTGGTGCTGCCGGTGACTGAGATCTTGCCCAGGTCAACTTTAGCGGTTGGTGGGTCGAAAGAAGAGACGGTTGCTACGGTAACGTTCACTCTTGTCTCCGGGTGCATTCTCGTGATGATGATGGAGGTCACGTGGGAAACATCTGCCGGTGTCGTAGACGTCTCTGAGACGGCAGAGGAAGTGACAACACGACGGCCAATGATCTCTACCGGCTCACTTGTCACAGAGCAGCGCAGTTTGAGAGTTTTTGTCAAGACTGGGATTATTGTCTGAGGGTCCACCGTCACGATAACTTTGGATGCTGAAAAACAGAATATCGCAAATAGTTGACTCAATATCATGTTGGCAATGATGAGTTGATGAAGCAAATGACCACCTAAGCTCTATGAATATATATATATATATATATATATATATATATATATATATATAATATATTTTAGAAATAAAGATTGATTTCTAGATAGAGCTCGAAATAATTGTATTTCCTGTCATTAATTGTGCTTTGGAGAACCCCGCTATAACGAAAATTCGGACATAACTCGGTCGTGGCATGGTGCCCTAAATTTTGTACATTTTTTTTAAAATATGTATTTGTGAAAGAACTTTAAAAAAAGAATAAGTAATACATACTCCAATACAACACAATCAGAAATCCATTGTTAATAGTTTAGGGTATACAAACGTCCCGTAAAACCGGGATTGTCCCGTTTTTTCACGATGGTGCCCGGTGTCCCGAAAAATTATATCGGGACGTCTAAATGTCCCGTTTCTAAAACCAAACACATTTTCAAATATTATATAAGAAGGAGGTTTTAACAATGGCTGGGACAACAGCCTAATGTCCTCAATTGAAATCCTAGACTAGAGACATTTAATTTGTTGTGTTGTATTATGTTGTAAAATATGTATAAATAAATAAGTATTAACTGCAAAATTATTGTTTTCGTTTATGATATGCTTCAGGTTTTAAGTTAAATTACAAAAGTGAAGGTAATTTTTTTTTTCAAAATAGTTTAAATAAGCAAATTTCAATAAACAGTTCCCGCTGGAGGGTATGCCCCTAACGATGGGTGCCCGCAGGGGGGGGGGGGCCTTGCTCCGCCTTGATTAATTGGATAAAATATTTTTAGACAAAAATAGACAAAAAATGTATTAAAGTAAAGAGAAATAAAGAGAAAGTAACTAAGCTGATGTCCTGTCCGTTCGTTTACCACACAAATACGCTACAGTAAATTAAAACTACATTAAAACATTACTTAAATTTTTTTGCCCCCGCCCCCCCCAGAAAGTAAATCGATTTTTTGACCCCCCCCCTAGAAAGTTTTTTGCGGGCGCCCATGCCCCCAACCCTCCTTGGGTGTGTCCCATTTTTTCCAGTTCATAATTCGGTCGCCCTAAACTAGTTCAAATTTAGCTCACACAGCTCACGAAACACAAAAGATTTTTTTTAAACGCCATTTTTAACCCCAAAAAATCACACATCGTTCTACTTTTCAAAACTCCAATGTATTTGGAGCTGAATTTGTTATCAAAACTCGGCAATCGGACGAACCCAATATAATACGATCCTAATTTTAATTACCTAATTATCGCGCATAAACCTTGTTCCACTGTATTTTAAAATACTTCATGCTAGCTTCCTTATTCAAATGATGATTGCCTTATAAGGCGGGAATTTCCCCAGCTGTTATCTTTTGAAGGGAAATGAAAAGCACTTACTACTTGTTCTAAGTAGCAATGTCTATAGATAATTATACGCCTAAAATTTCTAGGAACTGCAATGACCAAAAAAGTGGAAAACTCAAGAATAAGCCAATGTTTAGTGAGGCCAACGGTCTGGCTAGGCAACTGTTTAGCTGGGTCAACTGGTCAACTGTCAAGCTATGCCAACTGTCTAGCTAGGCCAATTGTCTGGCTTCGCCAACTGGCTAGCTGGGTCAACTGGCCAACTGTCCAGCTAGGTCAACTGTCTAGCTAGGCCGACGTCTAGCTAGGCCTCTGTAACTTACAAAATTAAAATAAGTCAATAAAAATATGCACTTATTTTTAGAAAGAAACTAAAAACACAAATATGCTGAAGACGCAAATTCCAACTAACAACACAAACTGATCACCAACCTGCACTGTAGACAACCATTCCTAGAACCATGAGTAGGACATATTTATATGTCTTTGCTTTGTCCATGGCATCGACAGCGCTTATTTTGGAACTAGACTATGCTCGCAACTCTGAACCAAGTTTTAGACTAAAGCTAACAATGATGCGAATCATGTGGTGCAGTGACGTGGTACGGTGAATCAGATTGTTAATTTATGGAAAAATCAACGCACCCCCCCCCCACCCTCGGACAACCCCCTTCCCCTAAACCTTATCTGTCCCTCCACCTTCTTTCGTTGAATGCTAGGTGAAATATTAGAGGCCCTACCGCCTCAACTGGTGGTGCCTTCCTCGTGTTCTTGGTCGCTGTCACTAAACATTTTGTGATAAGGGCATAATTCCTTATTGGCTATTTTATAAATCTAGGACAGTGTCCACGAGACTATCGGACTGCCATATAAATATAAAGAACGGGTTGACCAAATCTTTCCCTTGTGACACACTCACAAATAGCCGTCAGTGGACTTAAGCGAGTGGGTGGAATATTCTAGCAAGGAGACAAAGAAAGGAAGAGAAATATAGTAAGAGAGGAAGTGAGGAAGAGAAAGAGATGGAAGGGAGAGATAAAAAAGAGAGAAAGAAGGAAAAAGAGAGAGAAAGAGATACAGAGAGTGAGAGAGAGAGAGGGGGGAGAGAGACAGAGAGAAACACGATGGGCGTATATATTTTTTACATTAGTTTTAAAACCATTTATGTAAAAGAAGATTATATAACATGTCCCATTGTGTTCAATAGGCGCACAAATTTAAATTCTAAACAGCTGCACTAAATGGATAAATATATTCAAAAAATTCATGTGAGGTATACATTCATATGAATGTGTACATTGCTGTATGGCATACATTCATATGAGGCATATATTCATGAGATGTATACGTCCATATGAGGTACACATTCATGGGAGGTATGCATTCATTGTCACCTCGCTTTGAAGTGAAGTTTTTTTTTTGTTTTTTTTATACTCATGCTTTCTTCCCAGTTCAACATTGTCCATTTAGCTTTCATTGAAGAAAAAATTAAACCCGAGTTTCAACAAGAAAAGTAATCAAAGTTATAAAAATACGAAACGAAGCTATTCAGTTTTTTTATTTGTTTGTATTCATGCCCCAGTCCGCGGACCAGTTAGCATCGCATGGACCACTTAGCATCGCATGGACCACTTAGCATCGCATGGACCACTTAGCATCGCATGGACCACTTAACATCGCATGGACCACTTAGTATATTCTTTTTTTTTCTACAAATTAAGGGCCCAAAATCAATGTATTGATCAATCTGGCTCCTATGCATGTCGATGGGATTTGCAATGTTTTTGGGACTGGTGTATAGTTCACTGGTTGCAAGGACGACTTAGTGAGGGTATCATGCACTGGGGGTTGAAAGGCCTGAGGCAATAGACGCAAATTTGTCAAGTGTTGTTGCCTCAACAGTTCCTTTTGGAAGTTTGTTACAGTCCCTGATTGTCTTTGGCATGGATGAGCAGTTTCTGCTTGTCATGGCCTCGTCGCTGTCTATGGGGGAGATGGACGAGTTTCTGTTCATTGCTGGAGCAGTGGACCAGCCTATAATTTATCTTGTGCATCTTGGAGAGCCTGAATTGTCGTCGTCGTTCCTCCAATAGTGACCAGCCCAGTGTTTCCAGCATGCTGCCGACACTCGAGGTATTCCTGTAGCGGTTCAGGACAAAGCGTGCTGCCGTCGCTGGACTGCCTCCAATCTGTAGGTGAGCTTCTGGGTAAATGAGTCCCAGACTAAAGATGCGTAATCTAAAAGCGGCCAGCCAAAGGCTTTATAGGCTCTGTCTTTCACACTAGAGTTGCCTATCTTTAGATTACGCCTTAAGAACCCTAGGGTCTTGTTTGCCTGGCTGCACACATTGATAATATGCTCGTCCGAGCGGACCACTCTTTGAATGGTAACACCGAGGCAACTTACGGAGGACACTGGCTCAAGTATATTGCCATGACGTTCGTAATGGTGGTGTAGGGGAGTACAACTTCTTGATGGAATTAATTTAGACATTTAATAAATCCTCTAATCCTCTACAACTTTATTAAAATTTGACAATTAAATAAATTGACGTTTTTCTTATGAAGAATTCTTATTTTGAAACTAATTTCAAAGAAGTCAACTGAATACTACAAGTCTCCATTTAACTTTAATTTTCTGAACTATTGTTCTTACATTTTAACTAATTATGGACCACTTTGCATCTGATGAAAGACTTAACATCTTATGTGGTTCTAACAAATTTGCCATAGAATGTACAGAGGATGGTGAGCTCACCTTTTACTTTATCTCAAGGGCCGCCCTGACTTCAGGACGAGAACATTCATTATGTCAATGTCTCGTGAAAGTGGATGACCGCCAAAGCTGACATGTGCATGGTACGAAAGATCGAAACCAAATCTAATTCACGGTAAAGTTATAATGTTTCAATTTAAAGCGCATTCGTCAGCAATATCAAACTAATTTTGTCCTAAAAATGGCAGAGACGAATATAAACTGCAGCGCTGGTTGACCGGCTCTTAAGTCGAAGTAGAGACTAGCAAATTTTAGTGGCTACCTTGTCATGTCAAGAGTGACATCTCTGGCCAATGTTGTTTACTTACAGCCAAATAAACACTGACGACGCTATAGTTAAACCTGTAGCAAGAAATGTCTCCGTTCCTAGTTATAATGCTGTTAAGCTCCTGCATGAGAACCACATTTCTCTCTGCTGTTAAACTCGGCATTAGAGCCAAACCTCCCTCTGCTGTTAAACTACTGCATGAGAACCTAACCTCTCTCTGCTGTTAATCTCCCTCATGAGAGCCAAACCTCTCTCTGCTGTTAAACTCCTGCATGAGAGCCAAACCTCTCTCTGTTGTTAAACTCCTATATGAAGGTCCAACCTTTCTCTGCTGTTAAACGCTTGCATGAGCGCCAAAAATATCTATGCTGTTAAACTCCTGCAATTAACAAGTTATAGTACAGTATATAATCACATTATTACACAATTTTATTATAGCACAGAATCCCAATACGCCCTTTCCAACATGGCTGCATCAACTCTTCCGTCATATCTATACATTTTTGTGTCTCAATTGAATCCATCCAACATAACTAGAACACACAAATTTACACTGTTACACATAGTAATTGTTGCCGTGTAATATCTCTTCGGATCCACTACAACCATATTAAAAGCTAGCATTTTATAAAACTTTTGATTCTCTACAACCATAATAAATTTTGACATTTAATAATTCTTACATGGGCGCCCCGCAGAAAACTTTCTGGGGGGAGGGGGGGCAAAAAAATCGATTAACTTTCCAGGGGGGGGGCAAAAAATTGTTAGTAATGTTTTAATGTTGTTTTAATTTACTATAGCGTAATTGTATGGTGAACGAACGGACAGGACATCAGTTTAGTTACTTTCTCTTTATTTTCTCTTTACTTTAATATATTTTTTGTCTATTTTTGTCTAAACATTTTTTATCCAATCAATCCAGAGGGGGCGGGGTGGGCAAGTGCCGCCCCTTGCCCCCACCTGCGAGCGCCAATGAATTCTTATAAGCTTCAACAAACATACTAAATGTTGGCTTTTAATATATCTGCTAATCCTCTAAAAACCATAATAAATGTTTACTTTCAATAAATCTTCTAATCCTCTACAACCATAAGTAATGATTTCATTTTATAAATCTTTTCTCTTTCTAAATATTGCCAATTACCTGGTAATAAACTGAATAATCAGCTTCGATCATAATAAATATGGGCATTTCATAAATCTTCTAATCCTCTACAACTATGCTAAAAGTTTGCATTTAATAAAATTTCTAATCCTATACAACTTTAATAAATTTTGACATTGGATCAATCCACGTTTCTTTTATAAAGAAAACTTTATTTTGAAAAATCCATCTAAAAAAAAAAAAAAAGAATTTCAAAGAAATCAACTGACTAATCGTGATGACATTTAACATTGTCTAATAAAAAAAAGCATTTTGGGGGGGGGGGGGTTGATTTTTTTTTTTTTTTGGAAGCTCATTTATGGAAACACCTACCGTTGTCAATTTGAGGCACAAATCCAATTACCAGACTAATCAACTTGTGAATTATCAGCACAGTTAAACCACAAATGACCTCTTTAAAAAAAATACCAGATCTAATACATTTATTCCTTGTAAACGATTTTAATAATCTTTCTAACTCGTATATTTTAGGTAAAACTATCTAATAATATTTCTAACTCATGTATTCCCCGTCAATTATTTTAATAATATTTCTAACTCATGTATTTCCCCACACAAAAAAAAAAAAAAAAACATTTTAAAAATATTTCTTACTCATGTATTTCCTGTAAAATATTTTATAATGTTTTTAAAACATGTAATACATGAAAGCTATTTTAGTAATCTTTCTAACTCATGTATTACCTGTAAACTATATTAATGATCTTTCGAACTCATGTATTCCTATAAACTATTTTAATAATCATTATAACTCATGTAGATCTATTTCTTCATAACTATTTTAATAATGCTTATAACTCTTTTATTCCTTGAAAACTTTTAATAATCTTTATAACTCATGTATTCCCTGTAAACTATTTAAATAATCTTTCTAACTGATGTATTCTATGCAAATAACTTTAATAATATTTCTAACTCTTGTATTCCATGTAAACAAATTTAATAATCTTTTTAACTCATGTATGCCTTTTAATAAAATTTCCAACTCAAGTTTTCCCTGTAAACTACTTTAATAAACTTTAAAAAATCATGTTTTCCTTGTAAACTATTCGAATAAATTTTCTAACACATGTATTCCCTTAAATTTATTTTAATAATCTTTAAAACTCATATATACCATGTAAACTATTGTGAAAATCTTTCGAAATAATGTATTCAATTTAAACTAATTTACTCTGTATTCCCTATAAACTATTTTTAAAATATTTCTAAATCATGTAGCCTATTCCATTTAAACTATTTTAATAATCTTTCTAACTCATGTTTTCCATGTAAAATATTTTAATTACCATTCTAACTTATGTATTCCGTTTAAACTATTTTAATCATATTCACAACTCATGTTTTCCATTTATAATTATTTACGAACCTTTCTAACTCATGTATTCCTTATAAACTGTTTTAATAATCTTTAATAA